GAGCAGTCTGCAGTGAGATTTGAAGATTTAGTGCTCTCCATAAAACTGCCATCCTCTGAGTGGCTCATCTTTTGCATTTGCTTGCAGTAATGTAAACCATGAATCTGCCGGTAGTGAAATGAGGCAAAATGCAGGAACACAACAAATTAAACTTCACTAAATGCTCGTAGGCCTGAACTTCATGTTGCTAATTTCAGCAGTCAATATTACGCTCCCATTACTTTTCTTGCTTTTGCTTTTTATTTTGCTCCTGCAGTTTCTAAACATAGTTTTTGTGCAAACTGGTGGATAACCTGTTGATGCATTATTTTACAAGGCACTCATGTTAGTCCTCATTGCACCTGTTTTTCCATTTGAACAGGGCCCTCCATGCCCAATCTGCTGAATTGCTATCCACCCCCTCCATCTCCTGCTCATTTGTCATTTTTGTCCACCTTTACTCTCCGTGTTCTATCTGTCCTCTTCTTTATCTGCCTTTTTTAATTTAAGTGATTTCTCTTCGCTAGCTCTCCTTCATATTGTCCTCCATCTCACTGTAATTTAAATTTGGATTGATTAGCCTACTTTAACTGTCTTTTCAGCAGTGGCGAGCCGTGAGCTTTATACCTAGGCCCTCTGACCCCCACCAATTCCCTCGAAAAAAAGAAAAAAAGAGTTATTACGTCACAGCGTATACTTCAGCGGAATATCAAAACAACGGCCCAGGGTGCAAAACGCATCAATGACAGCGACCCTCTACCACACAAAACAACACCTGTGAACCCAATTTGTGTTCTTTGACATTGAAAATGATATTGCATTGTGTTTGTTACTTTCGTTGCAGTTGTATGTCTTAAGTGTAATTTGGCATGCTTTTATTTTGAAGGCGAGTTCACGCTGTTGACAGGAAGTTGTTGTTGCTATGGAAACAAGAAAAGTTTCACAGCGGGCGGAACTTGTCATAAAGTCTGCGATAATAAAACCCACCCATTTAGAGGGAAGATATGATTGGTCAATTGTACTGTCATTTGACATTACTCTCTCGTTCAGTTACTATAGCGGGCCCTCTGTGAATCGCAGAGAGGGCCAGACGAGCTTCTTTCATGTAACCCTTCACATTCAACAGAGACTGAACAGGCAGATTCGAAGGATTTATTTCTTTGGAAATGTTATTTTAAATACAATTAAATCAAGTTTTTTTTCGGTAAAACTAATGAAAAATATAACAAAAATAATATTAAAAAAATATATATTTAAAAAAAATATATTTTTTTTTAAATGTTTTTAAATATTATTTTTTAGAATATCTTAGAGGGCCCTGACGGCCACTGCTTTTCAGAGTTTGTTGGAAAGGTACTGGTTTGTATCCACTCAGTTTATCCACAGCTTAGCGGGTTATTGTGTTACTGTGTCAGATTTTTAAAAGGGAGTCTGTACCCTCTGAGCTACACCACAGCAGTTTTTACCTCCCCTCTTTACGTACGCAGCTATTACACTATGTACGCAGTTTATAAGGTGACTTATCTTGGCCTTAAGCTCATAATTAAAGCATATAGACCAAGAACAGATTGGTCACTGATTGTTTTACATTTTTGTTTTTTTCCAACTCCCCTCCCACTGCAGCCCTTGTCACTATTAACTTGCTGCTGATTTAAGGACGAGAAAACCATTTATCTCGTTTGAAAGATATCGGGTCAGACTGCCACTATTTTTTTTACCCAGAAGACAAGTATAGCCCAACTAGAAGAGAGTAACACACATGGAGTTTCAAGCTATCTATCACTCACAGATAGCAACACTCCTTCTTCTCTGAACAGTATCTAGAAGACACGGCTTCCCACTCACACACACTGCCAATTTTAACGAGAAGTTTCCAAAAAACGTAGGTTTTGTCTTCAGAGAAACAAAATCTTACATTGGAGAAACGGAAAAAGCAAATGACAGTCATCTTTGGCTGACAAATAAATAATTTAAATGTAAAATTGTCTGTCAATTAATAAACAAATTATTTCAGCACCGTTCACATGGATACGGTTCGGGTTGTATCTGCTACTTTTCTCTTTCGCTGCTTTTGGTGTATTTTGTGGCGGAAGTACAGCGCCACTTACAGGCCCGGCATATGTACTACAGCGTCTCCAGCGGGTCGAGCGGTCTCGTGTGAACGGAAGACTTTTATGATATCGAATTCGGTTCATTTTCGTTTGCGTTCCCGTGTAAATGGGGCCTGAAAGAGAGAAACCTCCATCAGGGCCCTTGTTTAAAGCTCAGATGTAGATTGTCATGCATTGACAGGTGATCCACTTATCTGCTGTGAGATTCTGTGTAGATGTTTGTTGTGTTTATTTAGATGGGGCTTTCTCATCAGTCCATGAATGGAGGCTTTGTGTCATCTGCAGTGGGTAACTGTGACTGTGGCCAAGTCATTGGTGTGAGTGGGTCTGTGAGAGTATTGGATGTGACGGTTCTGTTTTCTGTAGCTGGGGCTCCTGTGATCCTCATGCTATAAATCATGTTATCAATGCTGTGTTTTCTGGCACTTACTGGAAACCAACTTCAAGAAGTATGAATAGTTGGGGTTGAAGAAGCAGAAAGAGGCGGCGGCACCGGCTTCTCGTTGCCAGAAAGTGCTTCTGGATCTGCTACATCAACACTAAAAAGAAAGAGCTTGTCCCCTCTGCCATCACAGCACACAGAGGGATCTTTGTAATACTAATCAGTTTGTCATGTACATCTGTTAGCTTTGAATACGCTGCAGTTTTGAGCAATATTGTTTAATTTCCTATGCTGGTTAGATGTTCACTGACATACTCTTGTTAATATTTCGGCTCCATGTGAGACAGTTTTTGAGAGCAATTATGCATAATACAATTATATAAATAACCCGAACAGTGGGAGTCGATTAATCATGAGCAGCGACTCTTTGTTCCCTGCTAAATAAATGTTGTTTTGACTGTCAAACATGTCAGTACCTGAATTAACAATGAGGTAGTTCAGTGGTGTGCCATCTGGATAAATTAACACCCTGCCTGTTTGTAATCTTGAATAATGTAATGAGTAACACTGTTTACTCGGTTGAAGACTATTGCACTCTCAGAGCAATATGAAACGCATTTTCCCAATGTATTAAAAAGACTACAAATAGGTGCATCATTTTCTTATCATCACTCAGGTAGTTATTTACAGTATCCTATCAATAACTATTTTTATACAAATTCTCAAATGTGCTTCAAAATACTTTTATTTTCCTCTACTATATATATTTTGTCAGTTTTTCAGTATAGATAGATGGATACTCTATTGATCCCAAGTTGGGAAGAAAAGATCATTAATAATTTGTATTTTAATCATGATTATAATCAATGCCCCTATATAACTACTAATTAGTCCCTTGCTCCTGCTACAGCATGACTTGATAATGACAAATCAAAATTCAACTCAAAGTTTTGTTCCCAGAAGCAGAAATACTGCCCATTTCTCCTAAAACACCTTGAGCATGGAGAATGAGGGTCCACTGGTCTCTTTCTTTACTGCTGCTCACTATTTTCACTTGACATATTAATGGATCGAGGAGTTTTATTTTGCAGTAAGGAAGGTGACCTTGGTATTTTTATTTTCTCAAAGAGACTGATATTCCACTTTCCATCAACCACATATATTCTTAAATGTAAAACAAACATCTTAAAATCTGATGCTGTTTTTATATTTTGTATGTTGTCATCAAGGAAACATTATTTTCAAAATGGAAGTAGATGACAGTCTGAGAGAAGAGACTCCTAAAGCCCGGTGATAAGACATTTTGTTCCAAGAGAAAGGTTAGCAAACGAATAGAAGCAGCAGCATAGTTACATAACTTAATCTCGGTTAGCTTTAGGTTAGATTAAAAAAGGATCCTACTTCAGGATTCACACCAGACATTGCTTTTACACCCGCCCCGTTCCCCTCTGTTGTTTCTTTACACTCTGAAAAGTGCTGGATGTGTGTGGCTGTGATGAGTGTTGACAGCTGCTGGTCCCTTGCTCCGTCAGCCGTGGGCTCGGCTAATGTTTGTTGGCAGGGTTGTGTCAGGTGGAGTGAAGGTTCAGCGCATGGTGGCAAGGTCCCGACAGCTAAAAGGGCAGTGCCAAAGACTCGGTCGCAGCTCTAATGCTCTTAACTTCTTATTTTCTATTGTATCTTTAATCCAAAGATCTAGATTTTACTGTGAGATTTTTAAGAGCAGTATAATTCTGAACTGACTATTCAAATTCGCCCTGTGGAGTTTTTGTATTTGTATTAAACAACAAAGCTTGGTTTCTAGTTAGTGTAACCTACCCAAAAAACATTGTGTATCCTTGAGGTCAACATCTTGAATATACATATTGTATTGTGTACATATAGTATGTCTGCTAGTTTGCCGTTTTGTTCTACCTCGCCCCTTTTGGCATATTGCTAAGTTAGTTAATCAGGAGAATGGTGTCAAAACACAAACAACTGAAAAATTCATAACATTTCTTCAAAGTGGTCAGAAACTGGACAAAGTAACTTGACATTGCAGTATTGGAAAATAGAGATAACTTTGAAATCTATATAGTTCGCCAATAGTTCACAGTGATGATGAAAGTGTTGATTTTCTGAGCTTATTGGAGTGAATAGAAACCCAATGTCTGCCCGACAGGAAACATTTATATATAGATCTATGGCATTCTTTGGAAACATTGTTCCAACCATTAAGCATTACATCTTTAAAAGCCGTTGAACCATCTTTCTTCCACGCATCCTTTTCTATCTGAGTGAAAAAGCAACACAGAAAGTAATAGGGGAATTTTTCATGCATATCTGTACATCATGTCCTCCAAATGGAAACATAAATAAACCAGGCAACCCAGAGGACAACATGTGAAGTCGGAGGCTGCTGGTCATCTCTGGGTCACTCATGTTTTTCCGATGCAGAATCAACTGTACCCAAAGTTCAACTGTGTTCCAGTCACAAAGATAAAAGCAATAAGATCCTTTTTAACTCTTATCTTTTAATCTTTTAACAGGCGCTGGGGAATCTGGGAAGAGCACCATTGTAAAGCAGATGAAGTAAGTTATAAAATAAATCTTTATCTTACTATGTTTTTAATAATTGGCCTTTTAGTCTTAACCCAAACATTTATTTTGGATGTTGTTGTTATTTCCTTGTCAGATGTAAGGAAATGTTAATGATAATTCCAGATTTGTGTTTGGCTAACCGGTTTATCGAGTCTCTGCTCACAGTAAAAGTTGTTAAAGCTTACAGATCTTTCCTTCTGTCTTTGGCTCAGGCACTGAGCATATTAAATGTAGAAGTTAAAGCGCAGAAGTGTATAATAAAATGAACGTTCTCCAAGATATAGACAACCTTGTGATTGGTATTTTACTGCTCAAAGCGCAATTGAAAGTGTGTAGAACCAATCTGAACACACACAAATATGCATACACGGGAACCTCAATTGCTTAATTATTAACATTCCTCTGGGCTAGTAGCCAGGCATTGAATCCATCTTTTATGAGCTTGCAGCAGTTACAGTCTGTCGCTTTGAAGCCTGGTTATTAACACGTTCAGATAAATCAACCCGCATGACAGAAACACTTGCACATTATGTAACATTACACATTGATCAGCTTGCATATACTTGACATTACAGGAGAGAACGTTAGGAACACAACCTTTTCATAAAACACATACAAAATGTGGTGACTGTTCAATAAATTACTATTGTTAATTATCAGTTGCATCAACACACCTAAAGTCAGTATGCACTTTTACTTTATAATAATGTGGGCTGGTCTCAGTAAGCTCTCTCTGCTCTGCCTGCTGCAGTCTGGATGATTGCATCTCATAGGTTGCACAGACCCTTTGTTCCCTCACATTCGGAGTAATACTATTGCAAGAGGTTAAATCCGGATACTGCATCAGCCCAATGCTGCAGAGCTGAGGCAGTTCCACTGTGTGTTAACCGCACTGCTGCACACCATCCTATACACCGATATGGTAACTGTGAGACGTACAGTTTATGTATCTTGTTAAATGAGGTAGCGGTTGAAGGGATACAAATAAAACTGCTTTCAGGTGCCTTTTGACAGCCAAATGTTCTGTTTAACAAACTGATTTTTATATTATGAAATGTTACTGGAATATAGATTATTATGACTCTTCTGATGAATTAATTCAAATGGAGAAACAATGGCTACCCACCAGTCATCATAATCATTTTCGTTCTAGAGAGATCTAATGACTACATGATTTTGAATAGTGCCGCCCATACTGATGAACCCACAGGGAACCATAACCCAACACTGCATTATCCCACAGCTTTGCTGCACATTTGCGTACGATTTATTTATTCATTTATTTAACAGGGACAGTGCACATTAATCAACATGTCTGTAAAAGTGCCAGAGTTAGCTATCTTTCATCTGTAGTCCCTGGACATATTTTGTAAGTCAACCTTAAGACATCTGAATCACACATGACTGTTAAAAAAAAAAAGAAGCTGCATATTTAACTTTTAAATGTACGTTTTATTTTGTTTTTTTGACAGGATCATCCATGAAGATGGGTACTCAGAAGATGAGTGCAAGCAGTACCGAGCAGTGGTTTACAGTAATACCATCCAGTCTATTATGGCCATTGTTAAAGCCATGGCTTGTCTCAAGATTGACTACAGCAGTAATGGCAGAGTGGTAAGACACACAAGCACATAAACATTGAAAACACTATGCATTTATGTAGCACATTTATCAAACTGTTAGAGAAACACAAGGAATCAGAAACACAGACACAACCTGCACACATGGACACATGAAGACACACTATTGGCATCAACTTGAGGCAGAGATGCGTTCCGCTGCACCCTCTGAACACCAATCAGCCTGTGATCAATCTGTCAGTGAGGTAACAGTGGCCAAACTCATTCCTGTGGAGGAGTGTGTCACTGAGATGTTTGCAGTGAAGCCAGCGCTTTAACGGAAGCTGCAATAAAAGAATAGAGGACCCTGCTGTGTTCATTAAAGCAGGATGGATAGACTTTTCTTTCTTCCTCTGAATGATCTGTCAAATGTCCACATGTAGCTGAGTGATGATACTCTCGCAGACTCCCACACATGGCAATTAGTGTGTTAGGTGCTAGCCAGCCCATACTTGCACACTGCAGCACTATAGAAGTACACATGCAGAGATTGTGTATACATTTACACATGCATACGTGCACACATTATTCCCACTGTTTGCTGTTTAGTTTGGTTGGTGGAGGAGAAAGAGTTTCAACACATTGGATTCCCAGAAATAAATCATTTTTAATCCAAAAGCTGAATTGATACAGCTGCTCTTTCATTCAGCAGTGGTAATCACTGCAACAGAAAACTTCTATCAATAAACCAATTTAAAACGACAATAAAACTATTTGCTCATTTCAAACCTTGGAATACAGACACAAAACTTGATAACCCAAATTGTTTTATCTTCCTCAGAATAAAGGATAGTAAGTGGTGATTGATGTTCACCAAGAAAAGGTAAATAAACATTATTCAACTGAAGAAAATACATTACAAATATATAAAACATGGCATGAAAGGAGCAGAGATGTATTGGCTGCCTGGAAGGGACGCTGGAAAAAAATAAAGAATGAATCTCTCTCCCAATGTGACAAATACCCACAAAGGGTGAAATGTGTTCTTCAGTTTGAATCATTCATTTATATTTTGATTCTACATACATATTTAGAATCCTGAAGCCAGATAATGAACAGTGAATAATGATTGCTCATTGTTAATAAAGCTTGGAGAAGATATTTTATTTCATGCCAACATGATGAGGGAGAATTGAGAGCAACACGCATGATGGCAAACAGAAAATCAAACCACCATCTGCTAAAGCAGTCCCGCATGCTGTTACTTTGAGTCACCAACATATCTTACATGTGCTCAGCCCATACTGGCTGGCACCGGCTTATCATAGGTTTCAATTTCACCATCACATTATATTGCTACTATCATATCCTTTGCTTCCTTGGCCCTAGTTCAGAGACCTGGCCCTCCATGACTACACATGATTTATTTGGCATTATGTGTCCAAAGATGAGAGGCTGTGGATCATTCTTGAGAGGCTGTATTTGCTTCGTCATCTTTTACTTAAGTCTTAGAGTTTCTTCTAATAAGAAAACAAAATCTATATAAATTATTCACTTATTCATAATTATGTTTTTGTTTCCATATTTTCACAAACTTTAATTTTTTTTAAAGGTCTGTTTTAAAAAGCATATCCACTAGTGCTTCACAATGCTTCAAAACAATAATATTACTACCACATTATAAAGACTTTATAATGATTTATAAGGTCAAGAATCACAATAACTTATAATTGCTGTTGACTCACTGAAATGATTTTCAAGAATCAGTGTCAAAACTATTATAATCTTTTGTAATGCAATGTTATCATTGTTATAATTCATTATCGTGATCAGCAGTTACTTGTCACTGCAAACATTTATTTAAAGTGGATATCTTTCAAACATTTAAAACCCTCTCAATGGGCATGTGAGTGTTGCATTGAGATTGACTTCTCAACATATTCTTCCATGAATGATTATTATTGTTTCAATCAAAAGACATATCCGAACAGCGGATAAAGCTGATGGAACAAACTCCATGTACGTTTTGGCAGTGATGCTCTGAAATGCTTCCTTATGTCCCGCTGCAGGACGATGCCCAGCAGCTGTTCTCGCTGTCTGCCGCTGCTGAAGAACAGGGCATCTTCCCCGAGGATCTGTCCAACGTGATGCGCCGATTGTGGGGGGACAGCGGCATTCAGAGCTGCTTCAAGCGGTCGCGAGAGTACCAACTCAACGACTCTGCAGCATAGTGAGTCTGACTTTATGTGCATTTATGCTTTCATGGTGCCCCCAGGACACTTTTATACCATAACTTGTCAAATCCAGCTGACATTTTTTATGTTGCCCTTCATGTCCTCTACTACTTGTGCATTAATCATTACGCAAACATGCTCTTGCGTACACCGCTATAAATGTAAATGTGGCCAAGAAACCTCACAGCGACCTGTCAAATGTGCTTTTCTCATCCTGCATACTTATTGACTTGTATATCTAAATAAAAAAAGGTTTTGCGTCTGAAACACTATAGTTAATGTTATTTTAGCATAGTAAAAGACAGCTCAAGAAAGTATAACAAAGGTTTGTATTAGGTTCATGATTGAGCTCATTTAATTTGATGAAAACAAAAGGCTGTTTAATATTTCCGCTCTTAGAGATTGTGTCCTCCTGGTGTCCTTTCGTCCTCGCTCATAAGCAGTTCAAGTTTTTAACTTCTCTGGGGAGCAATAGAGACTGAACACCAATAACTTCCATTCAATGGTTATGTCTACCTCTCTGGGTTTTATTCTTTAATATTGTAACCTAATGAGCAGAGAACACAATTGACTTGAGGAATCAAACGATTTGATTGGCCTCCATTAGCCTCGGAGTAAAGAATGACTTCAGTGACTTGTGTCTTTTTGGAAGAAGCTGTTTTATGTTTTGGCAGTGCTATAAAAGTAAAACACTAAATGTATATGTTTAATGGATGCGATCATGACACAGATAGTTTTTGGTTAATTATTTGTTATGTTTTTGTTACTTTCAATAAGTCTGCCAGGTCGGCTCATTCATTATTTTCATACGGTTCCATGACACACAGACTCTTTGTGTCTGTGAGGAGTAGAGCGGCTGCTGAAGCTCCCAGCTGGCCTTATATGATGATGCAATGTTTGTGTAAGTGGATCGGGTTTTGACTAGCAAGAACCAAAACAGAGTAAAATTAAAAGAAATAAATCCAGTTAGATAGAAGATATGAAAGACAAAGCAATTCTCTTTTTTTTCTTCCACTGTGTGAAATTAAACTGCCATCTTTGAGTTGCAAAGACCATGTGTAATTTTATTTTCAACATTTGCATAATTTCTCCTGAGCACCCCAACATAATCATCTTCAAAGATTGAAGCCAATTTTGTATTTAAACAAATCACAATAGGAACAAATAACAATAATTTTGTTCACTAATATTATACATCAAATGAACTTTATTGGAGCAAATTAGTAGGAAAATGCATGTTGCCACTCGTCAGCTAAGAATAACACTGGCCTCGCATTATTTATTATTAACTTCTGGTCAAACTGTGTTACAGGTTGTCCCTTTTTAAGAGTGTATTTCTGTGGTAAGCCCCCGTCACTGCCACCAGGGTCTCCATCTGTGTAGAGTCCCAACACATAGCCATAGCCACTGTGCAATGAATGCTGCCCTTTACAAAGGGGTCCCCTAAGGACACTCAACTAAATCTGCAGCTCCATGGTTTTCAAGTTTGCCAAATTTACTAAAAGGGTAATTATATTGTTTATTTTACAACAGATAAACAATAATAATGTATGTTTTATTTCACCTAATTTATCTTAAAGCCTGTTTGGAGCTGCAGTTCTAGGAGTAAACAACCAACGTATGGTCTTTAACCTCCATAATGAATTTGGCCATAATTACATTGTTACAAAACCTTTGAGATCCCTTAAAAGGCACTTCAAACAACCTAATGATTAGACTGTTCATGTAAAGTTAAGTGGAATAGTAATGCATCAAAACATGCCTCATATCTGCTAGAATCCAACTGTTCAGGAAAATGTAGTATATTTGAGGTTAAAGCGTCACAAGTGAGTGTGTATGTATGTGTGTGTGTGTGTGTGTGTGTGCGTGTGCGTGTGTCTGCAAATCATGTTGATATATCTCTGCCTCTCTCTTAGTTACCTGAACGATCTGGAGAGGATAGCTAAAGCAGATTACATCCCCACCCAGCAGGATGTGCTGCGAACTCGCGTAAAGACAACAGGCATTGTGGAGACGCACTTCACTTTCAAGGAGCTGCACTTCAAGTAAGGCCATAGAGCACTGACTTTATATCAATGTTATATTACTTCGCAGGAATTATACTGCAATCTCCACTCCAACCCTGTGTCCCTTTAATCGAAACAGGAGATTTAGCCATTTGCAGCCAATGTGAGAGCCTAGGGAACTTAGAAGCTCAGCTTTATTTTACATTAAGGTGCCTCTGTGGTATTATAACCCTGTCGGTGTTCACTCATTCCCAATGCTTGCTTGCAACTTAATGTGGCTGTCAGTCTGTCTTATCACCACACAAGAGCACATGAAACATGACCAACTGAATAAAATATAGCTGTCCTTGGTGCTATTTTAGGAGAGCAGCTAGGCAAAACCCTAGCTAGGATATTAAAGTAAAGTATGTCATCATACTTTTTTATTTATTAAATGTGGTCCTTCCTCCTCAGTGTAAAAAGTGACATTACCATAGCAGCCTCCTCCACAGCTGCTCTAAACAAATTGCTCGACTTTAGACCGTTCTCAACATTAATAGCATTAAAGGGCAACTGACCCTCCTGGCATGAAATGTGCTACTCAGCTACTTAGAAGCCAAACTATACCAGAATCTGAAAGCTTAATTATCGTGATTGCACTGTTAATAAAAAAGATGCTTCCTACAGTGCTTTTACTCAATAAAACCTTTAGAGGGAAGTGCTAACATGTGAGTATGTACAGTGCTGCAGGTCTTACATAAAATATGCTCTCTGGCCCAGCCTGAGCACTCGTGTGTATATTAGTAATGGATGTATAGATGTACATCCTAATAGTGGATGTGCCAGAGATGCAGTCAGTATTTTAACATTTTATAACAGGACCTCTCCCAAAGCACATACTTTCTGATATACTGTATAGGTGAAAGTACAAACTATTTCATATAAAGGGCACATATCTTAGTTGCTTTGTTTGGGGACTTGATCAGTATTACATACTAAGACCTTGATAAGCAACTTAACAGATCTGGATGATAAAAAAATAAAAAGAGCACATGGCTCTGGTGTGACCTGTTTCCAGATAAACTCTCTGATATTTGCCTTCTGTCACAGCCTCAATATTTGGCCTGAATAATACATGGAGGCAATCGATAAGAAGAAAGTCAAGTTTTTGTAATTATGTCCTGTTTGCCATAACAAGTACTAACAGACCATATTTACAGAGACTTATGCAGATATGTTTTTATATTGACTCAATTTAGACCCAAACACCACATATTTGCCTCTGTATCATCTAACTGAATAAAGAGGCCTGTCTGCCTCTCGTAGCATTGAAGCCTGTTGTCTGTTTTCAGATATTGGACCGTATTCTCTCTACCTCCTCCTGAGGCTTTTGTTCTCAAAATAGCCTCATGAAGACTTAATGTACATCCAGGGATGAGATGTCACTCTTTATTTTTCTTTTTCCTTTCTTGTTAGCCGTCATCCTTCGTAAAACTGTCTTCTTCAATACCTCGTTCTCTATCACTTTCACCTTACTGTCTTTCAGTGTGACCTACTTCCTCCACACTCAATGCATCTCCTCTGCTTGATCCCCTTTGCAGAATGTTTGATGTGGGAGGACAACGCTCGGAGAGGAAGAAATGGATCCATTGTTTTGAAGGAGTCACAGCCATCATTTTTTGTGTTGCACTCAGTGCTTATGACCTGGTGCTGGCTGAGGATGAGGAGATGGTAAGGAAACATTATTCTCATCTGCTTTGTGATATGACTTCTATTCTATCTTTATACAGCAGTATCAGGTAGTTACAAGGCGAATAAAAGGATCCATCCATCCTCTATTGAAAGCTTAATAAAAGTAATCTCCAGATGGTGAAATTATTATCCATTTACAGTTGAACCAATGGAGTGTATTTATGTTAAAAAGCTAAGTGGCTTGAACCATTGACCCCAATTTCTGGAGCTGATTATGAATTAAAAGAAAATGCTCCAGAGAGACTTGGCCTAAGAGGAACATCCTGTGCTCTGCTCATTTCTCACATTTAAATATCAAACAGCAGTGTCCCCTGGTGGCAGCTCTGATGTGTTGTTGTGCTTCAGTGGAGGCCGCAATCTTTGACTTCCGTTGCTTCTCTCTAGAACCGAATGCATGAGAGCATGAAGCTGTTTGACTCCATCTGCAACAACAAGTGGTTCACCGAGACCTCCATCATCCTCTTCCTCAACAAGAAGGATCTCTTTGAGGAAAAGATTCCTCGCAGCCCCCTAAACATCTGCTTCCCAGAATACACAGGTACAGAGTTGGATTAATAACAAATAAAATCACAAGAACATGTAAGCTTTCATGTTAATATCAAATCACCTCATGTTTCCAAACTGTTGTTCCCCAGGAGCCAACAAGTTTGATGAAGCAGCCAGTTACATTCAGACCAAGTTTGAGGACCTGAACAAGAAAAGGGACACCAAGGAGATCTACACCCACTTCACCTGTGCCACCGACACCAAGAACGTGCAGTTTGTCTTTGACGCCGTCACTGACGTCATCATTAAGAACAACCTGAAAGACTGTGGTCTTTTCTAAAGGTAGGCTAGAGGGATGATGAAATATAAAATGTTTTCTAACACATTCATGTGGCCTTAAAGGTCCCATGACATGGCCATTTCTACTGATCATAATTCCATTGTTGAGGTATACTAGAATAGATTTACATTGTTCAATTTTCCAAAATCACATTGGTTTCTCATACAGCATCTCTGTATAGTATGTGTATTCACTCTCTGTCCTAAACGGCTTGTTGGAGCTCCTGCCCCCCCCTCCCTATGAGCCCACTGTGCTCTGATTGGTCAGCTCGCCCACTCTGTTCTGATGAGTCCACCACCGTTACAGCGGAACATCAGTGATTATGTGTTACAATGGCGTTAGCAACCAGAAAATGACACTAGTAATGACAAACAGATGAGAATGCTGCGTGGGGTCTGGGTGCCGTGGCTTTGAGGCTCGAGGAGCGGACAGTGTGAGCTATATTACTGGTGTTGTTTCCTGGTTGCTGCGTAGGGTCTGCGAGACAGCGAGACACCGCGGAACTCAGCCTGAGCACACACACACACACAGACAGACAGACAGACACACACACAGCCAGCCGCGGCTGAGAAAAGGTGTGTGTGTGTGTGTGTGTGTGTGTGTGTGTGTGTGTGTGTGTTGTGTGTGTGTGTGTGTTGTGGTGTGTGTGTGTGTGTGTGTGTGTGTGTGTGTGTGTGTGTGTGTGTGTGTGTGTGTGTGTGTGTGTGTGTGTGTGTGTGTGTGTGGTGTGTGTGTGTGTGTGTGTGTGTGTGTGTGTGTGTGTGTGTGTGTGTGTGTGTGTGTGTGTGTGTGTGTGTGTGTGTGTGTGTGTGTGTGTGTGTGTGTGTGTGTGTGTGTGTGTGTGTGTGTGTGTGTGTGTGTGTGTGTGTGTGTGTGTTGTGTGTGTGTGTGGGTGTGTGTGTGTGTGTGTGTGTGTGTGTGTGTGTGTGTGTGTGTGTGTGTGTGTGTGTGTGTGTGTGTGTGTGTGTGTGTGTGTGTGTGTGTGTGTGTGTGTGTGTGTGTGTGTGTGTGTGTGTGTGTGTGTGTGTGTGTGTGTGTGTGTGTGTGTGTGTGTGTGTGTGTGTGTGTGTGTGTGTGTGTGTGTCCAAATGGACTTTGAGGGTTTGTGACTTTGCAGACCGTTTACCTGCATAAAAAGCTACATAACACACAAGGGGACGGATAATAACCAGAAAAACATGTCATGGGACCTTTAAGGTTAAATCAGTCGATAAGTTGATCAAACAGAAGATAACTGGCAACAATTTGATTGATTGACGACTCACTAATTGACTTGAATTGGTCTATGGCACAAGCCTTCTGGCTCTATTTTCCCAATTGTGAATATATGTAGGTTTTCTTACTTTGTCATAACATAATCTCTGTGTCTTTGTCATTTTAATTAAGCGCAATTAAGCATTGATTAGCTAATTAACATCATCCATGCCTGCGTGATTTACTGTAGTTGATGAGCAGTAGTTTAAACATGATACATTAGTAGACATTAATACAAGTCATTGCTCTTTGAATGTATTTATCTAAAGGTGCTTTTTCTTGTCGTCTTTCTGTTCCTTCAGGAGAATGCCTGACGCACACAGACTGCATGAGAGACTGCAACAGCCATGTGATGATACTGCTTTTCATAATGAAAACCATAAGAGACTTGACTCTTAGAGCACATACTTTAAAGAACTTCAACAATCACAGATTTGCAACCATTACATTCTCTGTTTATTGTGTTGATTTTAAAAATATATATATATATATATATATATTTCTTATGGCTCTTGATTAGGGTTCTCATACTGTCCATACTGAGTACCTGTAAATAGATATATGACCAAGCCCCCTTTTATTGGTTTTTAAATTGAATTTGTAACATAAATGATATTATCCCACTGGCTTAAGTGGAAAAAGATGTTAGAAGAGGGAAACTTATCATACTATTAACCAATCTTTCCCATCATAATACATGGTAAATGAAAATAAAGCAATATGAAAGTATTTTACATCCTTAATAGGACTTTCAGGACTAGTTTAAGGATGAATTTTAGTCTGCAGTTATCTGATTTTAAGAGTCTCATTTGTTTTGTATTCAGACCTCTTTGAGTTGTTAGGGGTTTCATTTGAATCCTTATTTGCTTTTGAAGTTTAATAAGTAACAACATGAAAAAATAATATTTTATAAAAATGAAATGACTTTGTTAACTAATGTTGGCATTTGATGAACCCTCTGACTGCACAGAGCTTATTTTTTAGAAGAAAACAAACAAGCATGGAGAATGAACATGGATGAAGGGAAATGCTTTTGTACAATGTTTACACAGAATCCACCGTTGTACTATAGTGCATTGTTCTGCATGACCGTCCATAGATTAGCGTGTATCTTCCACAACTGAATAACATTCCTGAGTAACTTCTACAAAGAAACAAAACGTAAATGGTTTTGTGTCACTTTTAAGATATCTACAATATGTTTAAGTGTTAATGTCTGTTTCTAACATGGATGTTCTGTTTTTTCTGTTCCATTTTAAGTTTGTTTTTACATATGTTTGTGCCTTGATATCTGTTTACACATGTTATTTAGAGACATACTATCTCCATAGTGTGAATTAGGGCTATTTCTATTCCACTGTATTTCACATTACACATGATTTAAGATGCACCACAACAAAGAGACACATGGATGATAGTCTTTCAATAATATTAAGAAAAGAGTCATTCAATTGTTTTATGTAAATAAAGTTTGCTCACTTGATCTTTTATTTTCAATGTGATGGGTCAAAAGAAAATGCACTTAACACACATTAATCTCCATGAATGGACCTAAACTCTACTGAAATGCAAATTAAAAAATATATATATATAAAAGGGACTTTAGATTGACTGTGAATAATCCAGTCATTCAATATATATGATTCTGAAATGGGCCATTACACACACTAAGCTGTTTTACTTTTGGTACTTAAGTATACCTTGATGCCAATACTTTTGTACTTTTACTCAAGTAAGTGTTTAACTTCTAACGAACAGAATATTTTTTAAATGTTTTACTTTAGTGAAAAATCTGATTACTTGTTCCACCTCTGTATAAGAGAGGGTTGCACTTGCATTGCAGTAAAGGATTTAGGTTTAATTTGTCACAGCTTTCTCATAATAAACCCCAGAGATACATTTTTCTTTGAAGTAAATATGTTATAATTTGGTCATGGCTGTACATTTACTGAAGTACTTTATTTAAGTATTATTCTGAGGTCTGGAGAACTGGTTCTTTTAAAATTCAGATTGTACATAAACATGAGCTCATGATACATTTAGAGGTTTCTGAAAACACCAGCAGTTGTTCATCTGGTTACAAAACAGTTTAAGGCCCAAAGAAGAGAAATTATACATTGACATTTAACGAAAAAGGTTTAGAAAAGCTGCTGCTGTTTTGAAATCATCTCACAGCTTCTCCGATCTGGCTGATATATATCCCTATTGGTTTGTAACCACTGGACTAAACTACTTAGCAGTATGCCTTTGTAAAGAAGTGAAAACCCAACCTCAGTTACACTTGAATGCAATCTAAACAATCTAACAATGTCATACTCTTGTGCTTGAGAGTCCTGAGCAGATCCATCACAACTGGGGCTGAATTAAGGTGTTATAAACATCTTAGGTGAGGTGAGGAGGAGTTCAGTCATCAATGGGTTGCTTATCTGCAAATTAAATGAGAACATCAATCGAGCTGTGTTTGCATTTCTAAACACCCGTTAAGGAAAGAATTGGGAATGGACCGTATGCATAAAGGGTGTGAAAAGGTTTATATGCAGAGACAATGGAGCATGTTAAAAAGGGAGGTCCTGTTCACAAACATCCACAAGGTGGCGTCATGTAGATTTGAGATGTATGCAGACATAAGAGGCGTTTAAGCACAGCAGTTCACACCATTTACTATTGAATTTTTATACTCTGCATTCATCTCACCTACACATTAGGTTCAACTAAAGTGTATACTATGCACTATATAATATAACATATTCATTATCAGTGATGTAGAAAATCCAACAGATGTTCGTCCAATAGAAAAAAAGTTCAAAAGGTCCTGCGATCGATCAATATATTTATGTTCAATGAAAATGTCGTAATAATCAAACTCCGGATCTTTCACACTTCAGTACAACACTTTATAGAAGGAACCTTTTGCTCACACAGGGAGGGATCTAGTTTCAGCAGACTCGCTATTGGCTGATTTGGTAATGCCCTGCGCTGATTGGCTGCTGGGAAAACCTCAGCATCGTCAAAAGCCCCTGACAGACCTTCATATGGATCAGAGGGGTAATACAGCCCACAGACACTCTGGCTCTATTCAACTGTGAATCTCTGCAGCTGTGGATTGTGCTGGGATTAATTTAAATGCTTAGGTGAGTGGTTAATACTAATTCTTTACTATATGTCTTAGTAGTGAAACACTTTCAAAGCCCATCTCATATCTAATGTATCATGTTTTTGTTGCAGAAACAACAGGATTCTGAACTTCACTACAGGAATTAACTTTCAAAGATATGGTAAGTCTTTTCCATGTGCTTTTATATATTTCAATAGTTTTCTAGATGCATTGCAGTGGCTTGTAATTGCAAAGGTCTTTGCTTAGGACCCTTGGCAGGAACACTTTGTAAAGTATTTTCAGTTTAAGTGAGTGCACATGTTTCTGCTGATTCTTAAAGTTTTCCCTCTACTGGCTGTTCTTTTTTGGGAAGCTTGAGTGTTTAATCCCCCAAGTCACAGTTAATGCAAACCTAACTGTCCTTGCCAATTGTGTACAACTTGGTGAATCACTTCTCGTTGTGTGAAGGCAGTCAAGGAGAGCAGGGCATTTTAAGAGGTGCAGACTGACCACTGAGTCCCACTGAGGATGTTTCTTGTATCTCAGATAAGTCTCCCCCGGGGGCCAAATGGTTCAGCACCCACAGCTGTGACAACATCATGGCATTGTGTTGTCCGTGCATCTCCAAGCCAAACACTGGCATGCCAGGGAGGTTCTACTAAAAACTAAATATCATAATAGAAACCTAAAAACTAAATGTATTACAGCAAATTATTTTACTTTGGACATTTTTTGGAGTCTACTCTGATCCACAGGAAAGTTTGGTAGAACTGTATTTTTGGTTTGATGATTGTACAGATTATGTTGCATCAACTGGTACAAATAGTTTTTTTGTTTATCTGAAGGCTGGATGATGATATGATTCATAATTAATGAACGATGATTGTGTAATTCCAAAATGTGGTTGTCATTTCCTGCTTTATTAATACACTCCAGTCAACATCCTGTGAGTAAGGGGAATCCAGAGAGGATATGTGCATCGGCACAGCTCTACTTTGTTCAAACTTCCCTTCTCGTTTAAAGTAGCAGTAAGACTTTTCCCAGTACAAAATGTGCATATTGTCCACAAAGCCACAACTTTTCATTTTCTGGGATCATACTGCAAGGGATAGTCTCCATAAAGCTGCTCTGAGGGTTTTCAGGAATGCTTCACTTGTTATATGGTCATAGAGCACAGTGATCTCAGCTGGTAAAAATCTTATTGGCCCAGTTCTGAAAATAACAGAGGGAATTGTGTCTCAGCTAAGCCAGCCTAACTGCTCTGTAGACTCTTGCAAAAGACACCCAAAGCTTTGTTTGGTTTTAAGTGTTGCTTTTAAATATACTTTGCCAATTTTTCCATCACCACTAACTCTTTGTCTTTTTATTGTGTAGCTGTGTTTAGGAGACTCTCCTGACTGCCTTCGGGACCAAATGCAGTGCATGATGAGATCCCTGCAGGACCTGAAGCAGATAAGCAGGCCGAGGCCACTGAGTGAACCGTGTGCTCGCTCCTTTGCTGTGACTCGGCTCTGCAAACAGAGGGTGCAGCAAGAGAGACTCGCTCGTCTGCGTGTCTCTGACTCCAGTGAAGCCAGCACATATGACTCTGCCTGCTGCCTGGCCAGCCCCCTGGAAGAAGACGAAGAGCATCAGGAGCATGAGCGACTGACACAAGGCTCCCCGAGCAGTGAGAAGAGTCTGGACTTTGACTCGGGATACTCTGAGGCTTCTTGGCAGGATGAAGGTGTGGTGCTGAGGAGAACCAGGAATGTGAGAGTCTCCTCTTCTGCCTGCCTCCGCACAAACAGAGGAGCTTCTGGAAGAATCCGGCCCAAATCGACCTCCGACGCCTGCCTGGAGCGCTGGACCGCATTTGAAGCCAGCAACCCAGAGGACTGGACGACCTCGCTGCTGAGCCGCAGCAGGAACAGACAGCCTCTGGTTCTGGGGGACAACAGCTTTGCTGACCTGATAAAGAACTGGATGGACCTACCAGAGTGTCCTGAGCCAGCAGAACTAAAGCCCCATGTGGGGCGGCGCATGGCCAAAGACATTTTGATCAACATGCGGCGCAGACTAGCAGGGATGTCTAAAAATGTTGAGGTGAGGCAGAGGACAGCAGACTTGACGAGGGTCAGCAGGGCTGCGGAGGACCCCAAGCGGATGTCCTGTCCTGTGGGGCTCCAGGCGCTCAAACCTTTCTTTCACCAGTCCCACACAGGCCTACACCAACCAGACACTGACTTCCACCATTTCACTGCTCTCATGAAGACAGGCAGCCGACAACCCATTATATGCAATGACATTATCGGATATATTTAAGTGAGGCTCCAGCCTGACCGTTCAAATGAATTGTGAAAAGATGGTTCTATTTTTATATTGGATTTTGCCCACAATGTTGATACATCTGTAATAAAGGTATTTTGTATTGAATGAAAATGTGTTCTCTTTCTTCCTGAGTATGAGCTGCCATACTGTAAACATTTGAACAGTTTGACAAATTGTGACAACTTTCAAGCTTCTTACAGTCATCTTCATGTAAATGTTGTGTTACAGTGGGGAAAGTTGTCTGTCGTTAAGCTCAATTTTACAGTCTTTCGAGACTGAGTGGTTGGGAGTAAAATCGCCCACAAGCCATATAAATATAGTATCAGCATCTTAGCTCAATCAACTCTAACAGTAAAGGCCATAAAGCTTTAAAAACGAAGCAATTTCAACAGGATCTTTTTTTCTCGTTAAAATGTGAGGTTGAGTGTGTGATGTGGTCACCATAGAAAAGTATGTTTGTGACTAATTAAAAAGACGGTAAGGGAACTGAAGTCTTTTAGTGAAGTACACAGCACCACATGGTTCCTCAGACATATTTATTGAATTATATTATTTAAATGACAAACAGCATCCCGAATCAGAGCCCCAATTACACACTGAATAAATAACCCTTTCACGAAGTGGCAGTGATTAATTCAGAGAGGATTCTTCATTACATGATCTAAATACAGTGAGAGTAGAGTAAAAACAACACTATGTTAACATACGGGTGTGAAGTCAGACACATCGTGTGGTTGTTGAAAAGGACAGGTGATGCACACGAGCCATTTCAGGACATATGAGGGCTTTAAGCTTCCAGTCAAGCTTCTCCAGCTCTGGGATTCTTTCTGAAGGTTTTAAACATTTGTGTCCAGATGACAAAATCCCCCAAATTCGTGAAAGCCCTGTACCTACTGTGTCAAGTGCCTGGTCTGACTGCAGGCCTTCATCATTGAGCTCAGTCTGACCTGAATTAAACCTTGAAACCAGGCCAGCACGGCCAAGCAGCACCAGACCGTCTAATTCATAGGACTTGGCAAACATCTTCACAACCTCTTAGCCTGACCTCTCCAAAGACACATTTTTATATGAAAACCTGA